ATGTCCTGAGAGCTTTGTATTAAATTATCTATTTTTCCAATTTAATTGGATATTCTAGTAGCTTTTTCAAGCGAGAACACCAAACCCTTGCGAATCCGTATCCCATTTGATTCGGGTGTGAGAGGACGCTTGCCCAGCTCTTGCAGCACAAAATAAGGTTGGTTGGCTGTCATTAAAGCGTGATTTTTGCAGAGGGAACCTTTCCCAAAATCGTTGAACATTGCAGGAGGCCTTCACCAAATCTAGGATACCAAATATGGGTCATCAAATATGGATACACCAACTGGAATCAGCAGTTAATCTATTTCGATTTGTACAGATGACGCCTGGGTATGTAAATTGTGCTGAAACTTGGAGTTTCTGGCTGTGTTCACGAATTTGCGAACGCTTGTATTCCCTCATTCTCTTGAGAATAATCTACCAATGGTCTTTCGTACGCCATTGCTAATCTCAGGGACACTCACCTGTTTCGCTTGACAGAAGTTAGTAAAATTTATTCATTCCAAATACAAATCCTTGTTCAAATTTTTAGGCTTAACTGGCCATAGCTACATCCTCAAGTCAGTCAGCTGCAACGTCATTTGTCCATTACTTTTCAGTAGCCTTGTTAGGTACTAAATCTCGAATCGCTTCCATCCCGGGAGATGAGAAGAGTCAGATGGTATTTCAGATCCCGTAAATAATTATGATCATCTATATACTTGTCTGTAGTGGAGGGACCTTTTGGCGGGCATATCCTACCTTTGCATGGCATCAGTCAGAAATCCCGGATAAATCCTGTGTTATAAATGTTATATATCATTGCGTGGGAAATGAGATTAATCACTTTAGTGCCAGAAAGGCTACTGCCACTGAGTTTTCTGCTGCATAAATCAGTTTTGGTTACTCAAACAGCTATTTTATGGGCTGATCAGTTGTTTTGCAAGGTGTAGAGTAAATGTACTTCACACAAGTTTCTCATACGTATGTATCATTGCTCTCAGATACCGTTTCTGTCAACAGCTTTCTTGTGACCGAGGAACGCCGCTCCGAGGAGCAAATGCCCCTCAAGTAGATCAAAAGTTAACCGCCACTAGTTTTGCAACATACATGTGAATCCCGAGCATCCTGCTGTCCAGCCACACCACTCTTCGTTTTTGCGGGCAACTAAGTCGAGGGCGAGGCTGGTAGAAGTTGAACTTACAGAATTACCCTAAGGAATCTCTTCTAAATACTGACTGAATTATACACATTTAGACAAAACCCTCATCATGAACATGTTGTGGATCAGCACGCCCAGAGTTTGGAACCTTTTTTTGTTAAATAGCTTGTTTCAAGTAATCTCATCCAGGTTAGTCCAGCGGTTTGTGGTGGGTTGATCTTGCTGTCCACTCGAGCGGCCACCAAAATCCGAATTGAACAATTCAACATTCAGGGGCAGCATGAAGGTGATGCACCACTCTGTTTCTATCTGCCTGCACTAACTACACAACCCCCCTTCACATGTGCAATTGCGTAGTTCCCAAATTCTGCCGCGTTTTACTGAAAAATGTAAATGAATTTAGGACCATCATCTAAGTGTTAAGTTAATGGGAACAAGGTTCAAGACCCTCAATACAGTGTTCCCGCACAAATCCACTTCTGTCAAAGCGAAGGCTGTACATCCGATGATTGTTCAACTGTACACCGATCTGTTCACCTGGGCACAATCCTCACAATAGCAATAAAACTGGGTGATTTTGCGCAACACGTTATCTTCAGAAATATCACAACCGCTATGTTCGGCTGAGATTCAGATGAATCTCCCGTTCAAGACAACTTGATGTGCAAATCAGTGTATTTGGAGTATTTCGTGACGTTTGGATTCAAGCAGAACGGATTATCGGAAACTGTGCCGATCTGATGAACACAACTATCACCGGACATATTTCAGCAGTCCTGTTAGTAGTGTCCCTTTGAGTGACTATTGGATTATTGTCTGGCTCATGTGAGACGTGAGATGTGCTTGGTTGTTGTACGTGGGTTTCTTTTCGCAATCGTTGCAGTAATGCTTTGGATGTGTGATCTGTGTACACCTTTTAACCCTTTCTTGCAAAAATTCCACCGTCCGTCAAGGCGTATGCTTAACCGGTGTGGACGAGATATTTGGCGGAGTCTCCCGCTCGTGATATTCTCAAATGAAAAATGTCACCGAGCATAGTGTGGTCGCCGGTATAGTTAGCGGAAGGCGCAAAATCACCCAAAGAAAATAACTCCTCGATGAGAAGTTTATGTTACCGTTTATTAAAGTCAACCAGGCAGTTTTACGCACTTTCATGAACACATCCATTTTTTCATTGGGTAGTGAGGAACCAACTCAGGAACCAACGTGAGTAGGAGTTTTTAATTCTCATCCTACTTGCAGTGATGCAAAGCGGAGTGTAGTACCTGCCGTTCTAGGAGGCAGGCTGTCTTCACCTATTTGTCTTCGATGGTGTGTTCAAAACTCGAAAGTAATACCAAGACCATCTTTATTCCACTCATCATGACCCATGGATTCTTGTCAGTCCCCCATGCGATGCTTTAATTGTTACCTCACTTATATGTTGACGTCTAGAGAAGAGTTCTAAAGAAGAGTTCTAAAAAAGAGTTCCCAACAAATACCATGTCGCACCCGCCTAAGCACGAAGTGAAAAATCATCCAATTTATTCTGACCTGACCGGCTTTGGGATGCTCAACATCTAACGCGATCCCATCGCAACAACACGGCAAAATCGCACGGTTGGGATAAACCACTGAAGTACTTTTGTCAAGAAATCAACAATACTAAACTTGTCTAATGGCTCTTATTCAAATATACATTGACGTTGTAACACTCTGAATGCGTTTATTTTATGTTCAACTTATATTCTTACTTCCTTGATGGGATGAAGTCGTGTGACAAAAATAAGGCCTATTTAGTGAGTTGAATTAATTGATCCACTTTGATTTTTGAATTCCGCTTACAAACTGCACGATGTATTTGTGCAAACCTTCGCCACTACAATCATTTTAATAGGGAGAAAATGCCACCCGGTAAAATGTCACTTATCATGGTGTTTGCTGAAGGCGCCATCACGCGACTTGTGGCGTCATCCTTATTCTGATTGGTTGAAATCTAAATGACGGAAAGACTCAAAAATGGCAACATGGCGGATTTGCAGCTTATGATTGACCCTCTCAAACAAAGCGAAAAATTATAATGCGGTTGTATCGGTTGCAAATTTACATCGTCAGCAGTTTTTCAAATGTAATGAAGACAAAGTTTATGCGACTCCCGGTATTTTAATATAGCTCGGTTGTAAAAAGTTTAATCTGGAATTTTGTTTCTAAAGGTATCTACATCTCCAACTAATTGGGATTACTGGCGGTAACAAAAAGTGCTTAGTCGGAACAGCCCATATTTAGCAGCTGACGCTGGTGTAATGGGTGTTTGCACTAAGCGTCGTTCACATGTTAGGAAAACGTTATTCGTTCGAATGAAATGGATAGCCTACGTGTAATTGTCTATGTTCCTCTCAAAGAATACCATGAATGCCAAGTATCATAGGAATTTTGTTCGGTAGCTAAGGGACCTGATAGATTCATTGACTGCCAAACGTGCTAGACCCGATGTGTTCCTGGACAGCCATAACTCTGGTTTATAATGACGGAACTATCGGTGCGTCCTTTGCAGCCAGCGCATCACTGATAGTGTCTGTGGTTAAGCCAGAGTTGGTCACCGATTTTCTAATTCTGGTCGTTCACCGTTTAACGTAAATTATTGTTTAGGCATGAAGAAGGGTTCACCAATCATCTGAACGCACAGAATAATGCAGGCAGTTGTTGACGCATTTAGTGAGCAATGTATGCTAGGCTTGGAATACCGCTATTGCCATAACCTTTTGATTTTTGTTGCCTGTAAGAAGTTCACGGAAGGCACTGTAAGATTTCAATGATAATAGCAACATCAAGTTGCATTAGGTGCATTACAACAGTGCTTTGTTCCAAACACACTCCACATTTTCCTGAGTTATAACGTTTTCCATTACGTAACCTCCATTGGCATGCCCGGTTTCTACGTGCATGCGATGCGACTGTTGACGACACATATCAGCTATACCTAAAGTGCCATCAAACTATATAACCACAAGTCCCAAGTGAGATTTTTATTGTTCGACGACACTTATCGTAGGAGCGAATAAATAGAAATTCCTTGTGAGACAATTGTGTGCCTCTTCCATATAATCTTCGGATTGAATAACATATTTCTGTCGAATGCGCAACAAGTAACACCGAGATATGAAACACCCATGAAGCGTAATAAATGTTTCATGCACATTTAGGCTCCTGGTCATTGTACATAATGCTAAACGTATGCTGTTAGCGGCGACCCAATGTTGTCCTAGAAGGTTTCGGGACCACTTTAAGGCTGTAGACGAAACCGGAAAAGTATGCCCCCTTTTCTCACCTACGCAAGCCGGCCTTCACCGAATGGCCTGAATGCCCTGGTTGCCGTGACGCTTGCGTTGTTGGGAAACATGAAACTATATTTGGGAAAACATAATTTTATTATGGCTGATTGCAGGCAAGTTACGTAATCATCAAAATGTGTTCCACAGTCGTACCTGGAAAGCAAATGGGAAAAAAAATAGTAAAAAGCAATGGAATGGAAACGATCGGAGCCCCGGTCTCGCAGTCTGCATGAAAGACGCATTCTGGTTGCCACTGCCGTACCGCGTAGACGAAGGGGTGGATTCTACGGCAGATAAAGGACCACCCACCACCCACACCTCCAACGAGACATAACAAATAACATATATGAAATTTTCCCGGACACAATCTCGGATTTCCATGAATGACTTAAAACATCGCAACAATTCAAACATAACGCTCTCCTGCTGGCATTCAAACGTCGGTTCGCAGCATACACTAGCCAATCAGATGTATGCAGGTCACGCGAGTGTTGCATATTTAAACTAATTATCACATGGTGAATGACACGCAGTCGAAATCAGCATACCTAAATATAAGTCATTTGCATGGTTATGCACAAATATATCAACATGCCGACGACCCTTTTGACTAGCATTCCAGTGAGAAGCGCATTTACACATTTGTACACCATGAACGCATAACCGACGGATAAGGGAAGCACTTCGCCGACATTCTGTTCATACTTGGCCGCTGATAAACTATACCGGCGGGCATAACACGTGCCTGTTCTTCATTGGAATTCTCCAGTGACAGGGAATGGTGACTAATCTCTTGGTTTTATTTATCTGGATTGGACTGGGCTACTGCGCTTACTTCTATTAATATACGATAGCTTTCAACTGGTAAAAGTACAGATGTAGGTCAATGTGGACGCATGCACCAAAACTGACTGATTTTAGTGCAATGCTCTTGTAATTTGGGCTTTGTTCCCGAATGGGCAGAAGAGGTTATTAGGCAATAACATGACAGCTTTCCGTGTTCGCTAATTCCTTGATATATATCGGAATGATGGCCACTGGTTTTTGCAGTTCATCAAAACTGTCCAAGATCTAGGGAGTCATTAGCAGTAGGCAGGTGTGACACTTTGTTGGCGTTTAAAGCCAATGAAACGTGATTAAAAAGTACGCGTTTTGCAGGAAATTCACGGTGTTCTCAACAGTGTGGAGAAGCGTGAATGAACGGAAACAGAGATGCGAATAGCCTGGGTGCACGTAAAAAATGCGAGACAGATTTGTCATGTTCTTCATGGATTTACTCCCAGATAGAATAAGCCAATCAATTCATCGCGACTTGCGTAATTAGATGTACTTTTCTAGTCCCAAAAGTGGCTGTCTACCGAGTGATTTATTTGTCTCATGCTGGCCTTGAAAATGCAAACCTCTGTCGAAGTGATCACAGCTTTTCCACAAACAATCACCGTTCTGTACTATACCCATGTGGAATATGCCCTTGGTTTTCACCGTTGACTATTGCAACCTAACTGTAATGACATAGAATCCAATGAGTGTTGGAGCTGATAAATGGCACGTAATCACTGCAGTTATTTTCTCACATACTACCGATGCTCTTCTACCGAATTACCCTAGGCTGCTTCGACCAAATTGGGTGGTAAAATGTATTTATTGGCTGTGAATAAAACCTTTATATTTCTTGTTTATTCCTCGCATACCAACACTGAACTACCAGCGCAACCAGAGTTCTTCACCGTAGGGAAGCTCGTAAAATCCGACCAGTGTAACATGGCAAGACACGAAAAGCAATACTTTATGTGTGGTGTCTATGTAGATTAACCGGGAGTCGAAAAGAAATGGGAGTAGAAGTTTTTACTACGTGTGGTTTTGAAATCAAATGCTTCAGACGTATAGCTGGACTGCCACGCTTTGCGATGTTTGGGACAAACGGATAGGGTATTTGACGCTGAACCGTAGACTGATTACCTCCAAGGCTTTCTATGTTTTCGAAAGATGCTCTACAGCCTGGATTAAGTGGTTCATAGAGGACAACTGAAGAGAGCCGCAGTTGTGATTAAGCAAACTAGAGTGTGGAAAGGAGAATATAGCTTAACTGGACCAGGGTGATCCTCAAAAATGACCCAACGGCTAACCTGGATTGTTAGGGTGAAAAAATGCTGCCCATATGAAAATAAGCAACACACCCATGATTGGCAGCGTTGCAAAGAATTAAAAACTTTAGATTGTATGTGATTATATTGGTCACAGTAGAATAAAATAGGAAGTGGACAATTTGGATAGCAATCAGCCACAGCACCGCTAGTTCAGATCCCAAATTTTCATAGTGCGCACGAAAACGGTGCGTTGTTAATTCGGTGCGAAATTGCCAACCGACTGGACGGTGAGAAACATCCATAAGAATATTGCTTCTTCGAAAATGTGGATACAGTTTATTACACTGCACTTCATATTGAATACTGCCATTTTCACAGCCGAAATTCTGTCATCTTGTTTGATTTTCTTTTAGCTACTTGAGGAATTCGAACAAGGAGGTAAGCGGAATAAGATCAAGTTTGCCCCCAAGGAAGAAAAGTGAAAAAACACTGCGAGCACTGGTCTCGGATACTCGTTTGATTTACTTTTCCTGAGAAGAAAAGTCAGTTTTTATAAATCAACATCCCTTGTGGTAGGCATAACTAATTGGCAGCCCAAACTTCCCATAAAAAGAAGTTTTATTTTGTGTGATCTTGTGCCTTCCGGTAACTACACCGGCGGTCACATTCTACACAGAGAACAGTGAACAATAGAAGTACGATGACATAAAACGAAGCGAAAGGCGATCACACATCCAAAGCACCACTGCAACAATTGCGGAAAGAAATCAACGTACAGCAGGCAAACACATCTCATATACCTCACACGATGCAGAAACTCATCCAATAGTCACTCAAAGGGACGCCACTGACAGGACTGCTGAAATACCTCCGGCGTTATTCGGGCTCATCAAATAGGCACAGATTCCCATAATTCGTTCTACTTGAATCGAAACGTTCCGGAATACTCCAAATGCACTGATTTGCACATTAACTTGGTTTGAAAGGTAGATTCATCCGAATCTCAGCCGAATCTAGCGTTTGCGATATTTTTCAAGAAAACGTGTTGCACAAAAGCCATCCAGTTTTATTATTATTATGAGGAGGGTGTCGGGGTGCACAGACCAGTGAACAGATCAACAATCATCGGATGTGCAACCTTCGGTTATCGAGTCTTTGACGGGAGGAGAATCGTGTGACTCCCACTGAAGTAACAGTCGTGTAGTTTGTTTGCAAAAAGTTAGCACTTCGACGGTGGTCCCAAATTCATTCACATTTTTCAGCAAACAAACAAGGATATTTGGATCCATGTAATTTCACGCGTGAAAGTCGCTGTATAATTAGCTCAAACTGGTAGAAGCAGGATGGTGCGCTACCATCATGCTGCCTCTGAATGTTGGACTGATCGATTCGGATTTTGTTAGATTAGTGAAAGTGGGCCGCTTCAGTAGTCAGCTAGATCATCCGACCGCAATCCGCTGAACGAACCTCAGTAATATTACTTGGAGCAAGGGGTTCACGAGAACAGCTTACGAAATCCTGACATGTTGATGCACAACAAGCTTATTATTTGTCGTGACTTTACTGTAGGCTTTGTCTAATGTGGATAGGGTAAAGACCGTGCAGCAAATTGCTCGCGAATATTTTGAGGAATTCATTCCATAGTTTATTCTCCCCTGTGCCTCGTGTTTTTTTTCTTTCGCTCTATCTTATCTCAGAACGAATTTCGTAATGGTGGTTTTGGAAAACACTCCGGTGATCTCGTAAGCGACCTGGTTGCGAATACTGAGTTTCGTGTAGTATTCGGAAACTAATATTTCTCTATTGCAGCAAACATGTCACATGAATATATTGAAGACATGGCTTAAAATCCCCTCAAGTGGTGGAGGTACAAATTCGAAATTTGCAGAACGCTGTATCTGCAGGAGTTCACTTCATCAGCTATATACTATGCTTTGTTTGATTTTGGCGAACTAAATGTTATCCTGCTATTTGGCTAACATGCAGTTGCCCATGTCATCAGGACCAGTCCTAAATTAGGATTTCATTCATCCAAAACTGACCATAAGTTGCCTGACATTGTTCAACTAGACTTTCGAAACTGGACGAAAACTGGACGTGTTTTGAAAGCGCAACTTGCACAAACCTGAATTATCACATATGAGCAGACGTGTGTTTACGTGTGGCTATGTGATTTGTTAGCAAAATGGCTCTAAAAATAACCCAACAACCGTCAATTGATTTAGACCCCTGTGGGGACTTCGACGCCGAGCAAGCTGAAAGGAATTCGCAGGTGGGTGTGGGATTTATAACGCTCTGGGTAGTGTGGGAATATAGTGGAATTTTCAAGTTTATATCCTTCAGGGGAAGCCAGTTCATCCTGAAATTCCGAAAAGGAACATCTGCTGTATTATCCATATTGTGAATCACCAGCAGTGCGCGTCTGAGCAAACTCAAGAAAGTCTCGCACTCGCGACATGCCGGTAAGTAGTTCGGACAGTAAACTGTTTAGTCATCCGTCGCTGTAAGCATGGTGATTGGCTCTCACTTGGGCACGATCTGACACCATCCATCTTCAACCATGGAAACAACATTACGAGGTTATCGAGTGACGACTTCTCAGAACGGAGTTTCACTCATCAGATGATTTTCATTCTCCCCCCAGACCACGAAAACTCAACAAGTAACTCGTTGATTCCTACTTCTGTCTTGGACTTCTTTACTCGAGAAGAGTGCGACAACGTTATATGCATCGTGTGACTGAAGGACGAGTGGCTGTATGTTTTGTCCAAGTGCGAGATGATTATATTGCTTTTCAGCCGTTCGTGTTCAAAGTGTTATATGTTCAACCGATGGCCTGAATGTTGCAGAACCCAAACGCTCTGCGTTTCATGAGATGCAGACTGCTAAGGATTCCCAGTAGGAGCAAAACAGTTGCCTTTTGGCTTTTGTACATACACTAGCTTCATGTATGGGATGAGGTCTCCACAAAACGCTGTGGAATTTCATTGCATGACTCTTTGCAAACGGTTATCTTCCGGTCCTGGTGCGTTTATTCTGGTGAGTCCAAAAAAATTGGAAAAGCACTGGACTCGAGTGTTACTCAACCTGACATCCCTGGTGTCCTCAGTATGTGAGCCACTTACATGGTCAGCCGGTTCGGTTGCATAATTTTTGGTTACACCGAACTTAAGGGAGCAAAGACAGATGTTGGTATAAATCATTTTGTCTGTAGCGCTTACGTGCGTCATAAGATCTCGCGTTCCGACATTTGAGCCAAAAGGTCGTGTTTCAGACCAGGTTGCTAGAGTACTCTAGCCGATTTTTGGCAGCCATAGGTCCCTTTCCAGTCGTATGAAGAGCACTTCTAACTATGTTGTACTTATCCATTCACATTCATGCTCCGTTTATTCAACATGCGCTGACTTGTCTTTCCATAAAACACGTGTAGTAAAACCATTAGTCAGAGGCGAAGCATAAACTCAAATGTGAAGAACGCCAAACACAGCACGAGTCGCCATTCTACTCATCGTTACTGGGCTACGGTTTAGACAAGTATTCTTCAGTTTACGCACGTGAACTATTGATTACTGCTTAATAATTTCACCCACTTGTTTTAAATAGCATCAAAGATTTTCGGACGTATTTCCTCATTTTGATTTTTGGAATCGTTCAACCTATGTATGACTCAGAGTTTGCATTGGAAATTCAACAAACGTTTTCTCTATAAAATCTGAGGCCACATAAATCTTGCACGAAAGTCATTTTCAAAATCATGAAACAGGGTAGAGAATGTTGGTTTCCTCGATTCCCTTCTTTGGTAGACACTGTTTGAGAGTTAGTGAGACTGGTCAAGAGAAACGAACGTAGTTCTGAATATGTGAATGAAGGCATGACAACTGTCCAGCCGCCTATGGACGGACCATACCGTACTCAAACCCCCTGTGTAAACAGGTTCATTTGTTTGTGCGAACCACATCTGCTACGAATATGACCAGACCAAAGGATTCGGATGGATCACTGTAAATGGACAAGCGCTCGGCTGATCATGCTTACAAGGAAGCTAGGATTACGAGGATGACTCGCACCTCCCAGTTGAGCGACCACCACGTTGTAATACTTTATTCGATCTGGCTATCAGCCAAAAGTGTATATGCTGCATGCCACTTTATTATGGCATACACTACCATGTGTTGACTGTGTACAGATGGCTCATCTCTGAATTATGAAGACGTCAGTTGAGTAGCTCTAAACCACGATTTGTGTAGGTTGACTGTCAGTTTCTGCCAAACTGTGTTCTCTAGGTGTGTATTCAGATGGTCTGTATCTAAATCTCACCCGGAACGCATACTGAGGAAAGCTGTGATCACCAGACCAGTTTTGCGCATTTTAGGTAGTAAATTTAATGAAACTTGCTTAAACCACAGTCACAAACTGGATAAGGACAGGTCTTAAAAAATTGAAGTTAACTTTGATGTGACACTAAATGATGCTGAATGATGCTCAGCCGTTTGAACTGAGAGTGTTTCGAAGAGGACTTCTGATGAATGACACCGTTCACCTACAAAATGACGTAGCTGGATCGAGGGTCTTCTTCCACTTGTTCCTGTAGAATGAGAAACCAGGAAACTCGAAATGTTTGGATATGGATAAAAAGAGAATTATTATTATTTATAATATTGTATTATATTAACAATATTATTAACACTATTATATTTATATAACATCATATCACAGGTAACCGGCTGACACCAGATTAAGCTTCGTTATTCCTTTGCAACTATAGAATAATGGTGCCCTGCTTACTTATTCATGCAAAGCCGTTTCAAATCTTCGCGAGGGTTATACGTAACTGCCTTTAGGGTTTTGCTACCGACACAATACCGGAAAAAGTGACCCAATAATAGTCCAGTGTTTGGAATTTTTTTCCTTTGTGATCCCCGAAGGAATGCGCAGCTGTAAACCTGAATAACCAACCTGACGATCCACTCGAATGTTTCGACACAACACCTGGAATCTGATTGTTTTGCTCGACTCACCAGTGAATAATAATCAATTGTTAGGCTAGTGTTGGTAGTCATCTGACTAAGAACTGGTGTCCATTGATTCTGGAAAGTGAGCAGCTGCGGGAAAATTTTACTTCACAGACAAACACTGAAGTGTCGCCTGACGCGTGCACACATTCCAGATTGACTGAATGACGAAGACAAAAGGACATCATCGCACAAGTTGAACACCACAATAAATCAAATAGCAGATAACTTTGAGTTATTGAGACACCACAAGTTCATGAAAGCTTCTCGTATTCATGTGATTGTGTGAGATTTGTAGCTACACCAGGAGATTTGAATAGAGAGCATTTTACACTAAAAGGGTTAAAATTGCGCTTCCGTCCAAACGCCCTCAAAATTAGGTTGAATCATAAGAAACCTTGGATTATGTCCATCATTCGCGTTCTACTTGCAACATAAAGACCACACTACACAGTGGGTAAAACACTGAGGTCAGGTTCAGGCACGAGACCAGTAGGAGACTTGGAAACCCCCCATAGAACAAACCGCTGTAGATTGTGTAGAATGTGTGCAACGACGGTGGAGGGACCGGATGGCCAAAAGAAGCAGTATTTTATCCAAACTGCTAAATCAAACGATTTTTGCATGCGTCGGCAGCAAGCCATTCGGCCAGCCAGGAGATATCACATCCCCTGCTGTCCATAGATAACATCAGTAATGGAATCAGCTCCGTTCACGATAATATTTACACATAGTTTGTGAGTCAGTGGGGGTAGCTCCAGGGTATATTCGGTCCGAAGACCTCGCGGAGCAAATGAAAAGTTCATCAACGAATGGATTGGCTACTAAGTAAAGTGTTTAGACAACAATGAGCCATCCGTCAGACAAACATTGAGACCCCGAAATCGTTCTAGCCTCCATATCATATGGAGTCGACCACGAAGATTCAGTAAAACCAGTAATCATCTCGAAGTTCAGGCACTCAAAAAAATGGGCTTCGGGAAAATAGAGGAATTATAAACCGTACATTATGGAATTGTTTAAACTGCATTACAAGCTTCATTTTATACACTTACGTGCATACCAACTTGGTTTTGATAGCAGACCCACCTGGAATCCAGCTAAAGCTTCAATTTTTGTGATATACTTATTCAGCTAGTTATGCTGCATCAAGACGCTTCATTTTCTAGTTGTTGTGGAGATTTTTCAGTACATTGCACAGTAGTAACAAAGCACTCCTAATATTGCTGAAATCTTTTCGACAATCCACAAACGGGAACTGCATCTGCCAGATGAAAACCAAGGTGAGCGAACCTTGTCGATGGCTGTAACCCTACGAGTGATATATATTTCATATTACAAACCCTTATTCCAACCTGTAAAATTCAAAATTCATTCAAAACCTTTTGGATACCTAAATATTGACACAGATACCAGAATTGGACCATGGAACTTCACGTGACAACCATCGTGTAATCGCCCACATTGATGTTACTACAAACATTTTCTACCGTTTTCCTTTGCAAAGTTTTCCTGAAGTCGGCCTCCACAAACAAGTGGAAACCAGAGAAATGTCACTCCTGAAAGTCTCTATGTGTATCACACAGTCTCTTTGCGATGGGCTTTGGGTTGCTTAAAACTAACGCGTTGGATTTGCAACACCAAGGTCAAAGTGCACGGTTGAGATAAATCACTGAAGTGCTCTGATCAAGTCATCAACAATAATTCAGCTTATTCAATCACATTTAGTCAAATATATATTAGCGCTGAAACAATCTGAATGCAATTATTTTCGGTCCCACTTATTCCCTTGACAACTAGTGGGAGAATTTCCTTTTTTGTGAGGTGTATTTAATTACCAATTCTATCTATTTCTTTGGACTCTGGTTACAAATTGCACAAGTTGATTTCATGCAACGGCGTGTTTGCACCTCCAGACATTCACTTAGGCAATCTGGATAGAAACCGACAACATCGGTTATCAGCCATAACTTGAAGCGTCTCCAACCAGGCGCAGTTGGGATCACGCGGTCCCCATCCTGGAAGGCGAGAGGCACCCAAGCGTTTCGTAATCTCATTCATACCCTGCTGCCAAGTCAGGGGTTGGCCACCACTCTGCTTAAGCCACTCTGAGTTGGACATGGAAAACAGCACTCTCGTCAGCAAACGATGATCAAGCATACGCAACACATGTCCTGAGTTACGCAGCTTTTGGTGCTGGACATACCCTTTAATGAACGTACCCGTTGCACAGCCGAAAGTCCGCTTCCTAAATGACTCGACGCATACTACGACACCCACCAACAACAGCTATGTTTCTGAGAAAATGATTGTCGAAACCCGAAGACATCTTAGTTCCGCAGGTCGAACAAATCGCAGCGGACGCAATACAACAAAACAGCCTACACCATGGCTTTATATACACACCTCCTTGAGATTCATGGATACATCACTCTGTCGCCATAGGTGTCTCAACTTAGCAAACGCGATTTGAGCCTTGCAGATTCGTGCATTTCATTTCATCTGTCACACTACAATCAGAGCTAATACAACTTCCAAGATACGTAAAACGCTTTCCAACTTCCAGTACTTCTCCCAAGATTGTATGTGGCACGTCCAGTGACTGCACGTCCACGAGAATGACCGCACACTTTATGGGTGCAAAGTGCATACCAAAGGACGGGATGACTCTGGTCACTTCATCCAGAAACACGTACGCCTTCAATATATATCAGATTATAGCATCTCCATCTATGGCATTTCATCACGACTGTCTGAGATCACTTATGTGGCCACCACGTGATTGTCAGTATGCGGCACTGTCTTCACATTTTTGTGTCTAGGGTTCTCATCCGCAGTTCGCTTCTCAGAATCGAGACAAAGTGGATAATGTCTGAAGAAAGTGAGATCACTTCAAGACTGTTGGATCCTTTTCTGCTAACACATCCACATGACAGGGAATAGAAATGAACTTCGGTGGAATTTCGCGTCAGGTGGATTTTTCTGTTCCAGTTTTTTTGTGGTAGTTCACCATGCACCGCATCAGCAAGATGACCGACAATCGTTATCTAAAGATAGTAGGGATAAATGTTTGGTTATTTTTTAAGTATAAGCCCATGCGCAAGCTGTTTTTTCTTGGATTTCATCGCATATGTGAGTGGGTAACCTTGCATGGTTATCCGAAATAAGACCCATTTAGGCCGTTCTAAAGTTCATCCATCTGGAGTGGAGGAATATTTTCACTTCATTCTTAGGCAAATGCAACATGTTATGGGTAGACTCCAGGGATATCATCTTTGGACGTCAACAACCAAGTGATTGATCAAGAAAAGAATGGCAGGGGGAACGGACTACAATCCGGGTGTCACGGTCTTGGTATTACTTTCCGGTCTTGAACACAACATAGCCTGAAACGTATTTAAATTTAGCCATTCGGAAACAAGAAGCAAGAGGAAACAACGACAGGCTCTACTTTCCGCTTTGCATCACTGCAGGTAGGATGAGAATTTGAAAATTCTCACTCGTGTTGGCGTCTAAGCTAGTTGCTAGCTACCCGTTCAAAAAATGGATGTATTCAGAAAAGTGCGTAATATCTGCCTGAAGCTCATTACTAAACGGGAACTCAAAATTTCCATTTTGTTTTGTTTGA